CTTGTTGTTGTATATATATAAAGAATTTATTCAGGATAACGCTTGCTTTTTTTTCATAGTATGCGTTGTTAGTTTTACATATGTTTTATATGAAATAAAAGAAATCATGTAAACACATAATAATAGTACTAGCAGCAATCAGCACTTGATCGACTAACTCTTGCGTATGAGTAATATACTTTTATATATTGTATTTTCTGCTATAAAATTGCTCATACGCATAAATTTGCTGTCTGCCCCGAAAACTTTTTCAATTTTTAGTTGTATTTTATTTCTTCTGAAACTAACGCAACAGCAAATATAATAAGTTACTACTGATATATATTTATATGGATGTATATATATATGTATGTATGTATATCATCTTATTTATCTACCTGTTACCAAGGTATATGTGTATGATTGTATGTTTATTGTATATAAATTGCCCTAAGGTACCTAAGAGACTTAAACTCAAGCATGCAAAAAGCTATTCTAAGGTAAAATATGTCAATTGCTTTCTCTTACTTATTCTCGGTATATAGGATAAGTTTTTCCGTTTGGCAAACTTTTTTGTTGTCATTTTTTACACTACCTCCAGATGGTAAATAATGAAAAGTTGACGAATGCATTACTAATATATTGATATACTTAACAATATTTCCCAAGGTATACATGAATTTAGCAGAAATATGGCGAAATAAAAAATTTTTTTCTCTTGAAAACCTTTGAATTTTCTCAACTCAATGCCAAGCGAAACAATGTTCTAAGTGTGTATTCTATTTGTAGTGCCCAAATATACATCGCATGAATCTGTTAGACGATATATGCATTTTATGTTTGTTTCACGGTAGTTGCAGTTATATTAAAACTAATGATTGTCCACTTGCTTATCTTTTTACTTATTGTTTCACATTCGTTATTCTGTCTGTTTAACTCTTCATTCGAGAGTTTTTATGCCTTTAACTTATCCATACCTAAGCTTGTCTGTCGTTTTGTCCATTTTTGCTATCCTTTTTTGCTTAAGGTGAAGAATTCCATTCATATGACATGTTTTTATAGTCGCATTCTCCATCCTTGCTTGTAACACTGCGTCTTACATAGTAAGATATCGAACTATTGCTGTAAATATTCTTAATTATTGCATTTTCGTCATATATTCCACGCCTACTATATTTGATATAAAAGACTATGTCTTTTAAAAAGCTTTGGAGCTAGAAGTAAGAAAAATTCTGATATATTATAGCATTTGGCGATGCACGTATGCATTAAGTTAGTGCGCATACATGCAACACCCAGGAGCACTTGGGATAGAAACACTTTTTAGTGTACTGATCGATTCAGAATCACTTCAACCTTGTCTGTCAATTTGTCAGTCTTATTTTATTGTGTTCAACCTACATGTCCCAATTTTTGAGATATTTCGATAAAATTTGGTACACAGAAGTGTTTTAGTCGAAGGACGAATGCTGTTGAAGGTCGTGATGCGCATAACTGTAGGGTGATGTAGTGTATTTAATGATGGGCCGTGGCCCAATATAGTTTTCTTTTTATAGAAAGATTCGCTAAGGATCTTGAAATATATCTCAGTTTTCACACTGGCATCACTGTCTAGAAATTATAAATACAGATAACGGTCGCTAAGAGCCATGCCTGGAGAGGGTAGCAATTCGTGGTTCACTCTAAGCAATTTTGGTATTTGTAATCATCGATTTGCGGGACGGTCCACTTATTTCACTACGAGTAAGTTCTAAGGCCTAAATTCTTATGCAAAGTAAAGATTTCAATACCTTTCGTTGCCTTTAGAATGTTAGCTAGCGTTTAACAACTTCAATTTTCGATTATCGTGTACAATTTGTAAGATTTTCTTAAAGTTTTCTAGTGCGATTGTTTTCATCAGTATCGGCGCCTCTTGTGACATGGTTTGAAATGAGCAAATCGCTGACAAATTATTCTCGAACGGGAAGATCCTCCAAGCTATTAAGCTACAACGATGTCTCTTTTACCATCAAAAAATCAATGTTTATTTAACACAAATCTTTAGAGTTTCTTCCGACTTTGAATGTAGAACAAAAAAATTTTGTCGCTAATGACATTAAATTTTAACATATGCTACTGTCCGAATAGTATTGATTATTCTTAATATTACCGGAATTATAGATCAATCTCTTTTCAAAGGGCGAACTCAGAGATGCTATCAGAGAATTTTGATCAAACTTTTATCATTTTGATATGACAACTCGATAATGAATCGTGATCTCCCCTCAGATGAATATACATGTAAAAAGTGTACACAAATAGTTAACTATTTGCAAACACATTTACTTACTTTTGTAAAAGAATTATTAATATATACTGTACATAAGTATTTGTGTGTGATATAATTATGCAATGAAGTAAGTTACTCTACTTAAGTGATTTTTTCACTTAGACTAACGTAAAGTTTTAAAATGTGCACAAATTGGAAGGCAATTATACAAAGGTTTGAATATTCGTAAGAGAGATAGAGAGAAAAGGTCAACAATGTTAAATGACTTATAATATGCTTAGCACGTAGAGCAAATGATGAGTGGTTCGCTCGAATTCAAATTAAACACCAGACTATTACTAAAGGGTGTAGGTCCACTAATGATCAGTGGTTCCCGCGAACCTTAATTAAACACCAGACTATTACTAAAGGCTGTAGGTCCACTAATGATCAATGGTTCCCTCGAACACGAATTAAACACCAGACATTAGCTCTCATAGTTCTTGCTAAAGATGAGTAAGGTAGGATGAGTAATTTTTGATATGATGACATCGCAGTTCATCAGTTAGGTGCGTAATTCAAGTCGCTAAGGATATAACCCTTATAGATTAGGCAAACAAACATTAGGTTGCATGCATTTTCCAATCTATTCCTATTTCCACACTTCTTTTTAAAAGTCACAGTGTTATATATATATATGTACAGGAGAGACCCTTTGAGTGATTGCTGATATTTGAAAATAAAAAAAAAATATGAAAACAACAAAAAATAGCGTAATCAAAATCAAGCAGGAACCTGTCGCATAGCAAATTTTGCGGAAGAATCAAAATAAAGCGGATAAGATTTCAATTCATTGGCAAAAAAAAATTCTAATGAAAAATTGAAAAATTGCTTAGTAATAAATAAATTCGAAAATTGATCCAAAAAAGAAAAGTTTTTTCTATGATACTATGATGTACGAGATCAAGTAAGTAATATCATACTTTTCTATAGTACCTCGATTCCAGCATTCCTGTTCACACGGTCCATTTTCTAACCACAATCGAAAATTTCTTTCGGTGGTCCTTACCACGCGATACCAAAGTAAATTTTTTTTTTTTTTTTTTTTATATTTATAAAAAGCTCCCTGGTATTATAAAGAAAACACCAGACCAAACATCGGAAATGTCGTCCATATATGTCGAACATGGGATGAAAAATGAAAGGGTTTAAAAGTTTTGGGGAAAATTAAACCCTAACGTGAAATATATTAAAATGATTGTAAAAATCAGCCATTGATCCTTCTCAGAAAAGCATAAATGTAAGATTATTGGCATTTGTTACTTGAGAAGTCAATATGCATTATTGGGGTTGAAATGTATGCTGAAATCGTTATAACGTTAGATTAGACGGGCGAGAATAGTTTTGTAATAAAAATGACGGTTAAGTCATTTGTTTGTGAAAACTAATCCGATTTTCAACTGGTAGATAAGAAGATGTTAAAAAAATGCTTAACTGTACCTTGTACTGTGCGTTATTCGTATGAAAGTCCTTAACAAATGTCTTTTGTTGTTTTTCTTCTTTACTTTATTTTGACTTTATGGGAATGAGTGTTGTGCAGGCTGAAGTGTAAAAATTCTATTTTTACTTATATACATACATATATATATTTACATTTTTTGTTTTTTTTCCGTTTTTTTTTTTAAGAAAAATCTTTTATTCTTTGAAGTGTTTCGTGGCTGCTTTTATTGTTGTTGGCAAAGGAAATGCATTTTGTTTTTGCTTTTGATAACCAGAAAAACTTTGTAACACATTTTGATCTCGTTTTCTTTCGGTTAAGTGAAGCAACCAAGACATATGAAAATCAATTCATTCTTTCCTCATTGAAGAATTGCATAGAAACGCACACAGTCACATATTAAAGTACACTACTCTTCATATTACTTAAGTCAAACCCAGAGCAATATATTAAAAAGCATAAAAGCATTGTCTACACTTTGATCAAGCCTTGATACTTTTAAACATTTCTCTCTACGCATTCCTAGCTACGCTAGCGCTGTTATATTTTGTTGTTAAATTAAAAAAATGTGATAAATACAAATACAATACAGCTGGTCTGGTGAGGTGGGTGGAATTTATTGAGGCGGTTGGTTAATTTTAAACTTTCAAACATTTGTACATGGGTTATTCAGATAATCAGAGGTTGGATGGTAAGCTTGCTTGAGCGACGAGCGAACAGTTCGATTTGCTGGAACTGTTATGTTGCAAAAATTACTTAACCCGCATGCTTTGACTTGTCATTCAATCTATAGTTAGTTATTGCACGTTATTTAAGAATTTATTGAAACATTTTTATATAATAATATATAGTATATATAAATATATATACGTAATATATATGTATATATATTTTCAATTTCATTTTATATTCATTGGAAAATTTATTTTCATTACGCTTTCAATTATTTTGTTTTCCTTTTTTTTTGTTTTTTGAATTTTTTTCCACTCAAGATTAATTGCTTTCAATTGATCTCATTTAGTTTAAAAATCCCTCGACTCTTCTATATTTTGTTTTTTTACATAAATTTGCCATCATTATGTAGTCATTTATTTACTTTAGACATACATTGTGTTTTCACATGTGTATGGTTATATCTAATACACATATACTTGTATTACTTTCTTTTCATGTCTTCTCTCCGTCTCCTTTCATATGCATATGCAAATGTTGGCTGTTGTGATTGATATGTTCGTTCGTTCGTGTTTGTTTAAATCGTTTACATACTGCGAGTAGACTCAAATAAAATCAGTAGTTTGTACGAAGATGATAATGATGGCCCTGATGGATTGATGATGATGAAGGATTATATCATGACTAAACATATTACATCGCATGTCAATGTAGCATCAACGACAAGAACAAGAACAGCAACAACAAAAACAACAAGAACAAAGACATCTGAAATAGCGGCAGCAGCAGCAGCAACAACAACAACAACAACAATAACGAGAACAACAAAAACAATGATGAAGCCTATAATATTGAGCACAACGGCAACAACGCTGATGTCCAATAATTTAATGCCATTGCGTACATATTTCAACAACAAAAATCATTATATAAAAAATTTATCATCATTATCGTTATTAAGTATAAATGAAACCACAAGTTTAACATTACCATCCTATTACTCTTCTTCGTATACATCGTTGCCGTCGTCATCGTTATCGTCATCGTCATCGTCATCGTCATCGTCATCGTCATCATCTTCATCTTTAGCAAACGCAATGGCCCTGAGGCTTAACGGAAATACCGGAAATGTGAACAGTAACCGTAGCCGTTTGTTTGTCGGCACTAGTAATAATGCAACAATTGTTACTGCCATCGCTCTAAAATCAACTATGCCCACAAAAATAGCAAACAGCATAAGCAACTCCAACAATTACGACCCTAGTAATAGTACAATATCAACTGCCTTGGGCAGTATTAGTTTAAGCAATGTTAACGGAAATAATACTAAAACCATCAGCAACAGTAGTAGTAGTAGGAGCAGCAGCAGCAGCAGTATCGTTACTAGAGTTTCAGCCCGGAAAGTGGACAGCAAATATACACTGCCAAAGTCACATAAGACAGATGCACCTATGCTGAATTATATATTCGATACATTCTCATCGGCCAATAAACATCATCACCACGATCAAAGGTGGGTGAACAAACGGGTTGTTGTATGTGCAAAGTATACAAAACGCCAGGAAAAAAAAAAAAAAGAAGAAAATCAATTAATCTTTTTTTTTTTTGATTAAAAAAATGAAAAAAAAACAAACAAAACGCAAGGTGTTATACAAACTATGTTATTGGTAATAGCCTTGCTTCTGTATATGTACCCAGTAACTTACAGTAACTGAAGGCATTCTTTTATCGACGAACTATTGTAGTGTAAAAACTAAATTTTAATTAGTTTATGTAGAGAAGTTTTCCATGATTAAATCGACTTTTTATAAATATTAATTCGATTTCGTTTTCAAACTCTCACGCTCTTTTCGCTTTTCCCTTTTTCTCTTTCTCTCGCTCGGTTATATTAGTACAGGCTCTTATGGAATTGTCTTTAATGAACAGCTATGTTCGTCCTAATCGATGATAATATATATATATATATATATCTATATATATATATGCATATATACACTACATAATAATATATATGAATGATATATTTATAGTGTATGTATATTATTTTTATTTTAATTCTTACGATGAATTGTACAATTGGATGTTAAACTCTTCTTGACTAGAGTTTGGATTACTTTTCTAACCTTTGTAAATTTGTCTGGAGCAAGAACTCATTCAAAAAATATATATTGTCATAGCAATTCATGAGTAAATCAATCAATTAATCAATCGTGTTAGGAAATATACTTAACTCACCGTCAAGTTTTACGTTGAATTATTTGTGCACTTAATTCTCAGCGCTTTTCCACTTTAAGGAAAGCATTCGCGAAAAATTAATTGCAAATTATTTAAAAAAAAAAATGGTTTTAACAAATTGTTTCCTTATCAGCAATAACAACCGTTTTATTGAAAATAGATTAGAGAGGAATGATTGGGTGCCTGGGTGATTAACTGGGCGATGGGATAACTAATTGATTGAGTAATTAGGGTTAATGTTTAATCTTCGTTGGTTATTGTTTAATCTTCCATTGTACGATTTTGCCCAAAAATTAAAGCAGCAACATATTAAAATAGTTTTTCGTTTTTTATATATTTACTTATGGAGGGGATACATTTCATTTGAAATTTTCCAAAAATTATTTCTTCAATTTGTATTTAGTTAGCTGGGTCATCGTTTATATATCCCTTAGGAGTAGACGCATGGACTGAGGAACATCTTGTGTAATAATAAAATTAGTTTCGGCGGCTTATCAGAAATTAAACAGACGCTGTAGATTCGTGTATCGAGACTCTCGATGTGTATACGAACTCATGAAGATGAAAGCAAAGCTTCAAAGTTTTATTTAGGTAAAGGGAAAAACATTTTCATTGCTCTTAAACGACTGCAATGATTAGGTTTAACCTCAACATTGATCGAGTAAATGTTTCGAGTTATCTCTCTTGAAGCATTTTCACCCAATTTTTCAGTGGACAAACCAACTGTTTCTAGATACTTACTTGGGATGGGCACGGTGCAAAGGGGGAGGGGGGAGGGGGGAGAAAGGCTACGACTACCTCGCATATCGACTAAATATGTCATTTTGTAAAAATTGCCCAGAACGGTATTGGCCAAACATAGCGTCTTTGGAAAGCCCTTTATTCATGGCGTGGCTGACATGCAGCTTCACAAAGCGCGAAAAGTTCAAAAATATAACTTCTTTTGGCACGATACCGCCATGTTGCCAGAAATATGATAAAATTTCATAGAAAATGATGCAAAATATATTGATTAACATAGATTGAAACAGGTTTTCTCAATAAATACCTTTTTAAACTGAAAAAGTGACGAAATTAAATGCAGTTGTATCGTCATGTGTCATACATATATTTTTTTATTAGAAGAAACCTTTTAATTTTAGTCTGCGATTATACTCAAGTTGCGTCGACTTCAATGCAAGATTTGCACGATTGGACACTACTATCCACAATCTTTAAAACTTTAATGCTTCTTAGAATACTAGTCGTACTGTCATGAAAATTGCCCACAGCAATGTCAATCCCGTACGTACGAAATATTTTGTTTATGGAAAATCTCGAAAACTCCGAGGAAAACCCTTTTTGCGAGTAATGAATTTTTTTTCCCACGTATTCTAGAAAGTTCAAAGCATCTATTAAGCAACAAAAAAAAAAAAAAAAATCGATTTAATGCCAAATTTACAGAAGTCTACCTCCGTTAATACTCGTACGCTATCGATTGACTTTGCTTTATTTTATTCATTTTATTTTCAAAGCATTAAATAAATAATACATACATATATATATATACATATATTTTTTTTTTTTTTTTTTTAAATATATTTTTAGTTTTTCAAATTTTTTTAACAAATATTTATATAAAAACAATTCAAAAATAAATCGAACGTAAAACGGTTTTTCGTGTATACACACACACATTCTCACAAGCATAAGTGTCCACTTAAATGTTTTCTGTCACTTCGAGAGAAGCGAACATTGCGATTCTCGTGTATAAAGAACAAAAAAAGCAACAGAAACAAAGTCTGCATAGAAAAAATTCGGTTTACAAAAGTGGAAAATGGATAACTGAAAACATTTTCCAAATATTCACCTGACGATTGAATAAAAGGTGGAAAAAAGAAAACAAAAAAAAAAAAAAAAAAAAACAAAAAAAAAAAAGGTATAAAACGGAAACAACAAAAATTTGCTTCCGTTGGCAAGTTAACACTAGGGAAATAACGTTTGCGATACTTACAAAAGCAATTGACTGAAAGTTGTTTGAAAATAAAGAAATTGAAGAAACAGAACGAAAACAAACTCAACAGCTTGGGGTGTTGATGACGATGATGACGGTGTAAGGGACACGTTTTACATAAGATTTGTGTCGAAAAACTTATCTGCATATTTTTGACTACTTAACCTGACTAATAAATAGTACTCGTATAGTTAAACGATAAAAAAAAAAAAAAAGATTTGATAAATTTTTATTATTTGAATTGTAAAAGTGTTGAAGCAGGCTATTCTTGGTCTCGCCTGGAAGATGTGCAAAGTGCAGAATGAAGCAGACATAAATTTTAAATGCATTTAAATATCTGCACTCACATAGCATATATGTATCTGTGTGCAAATGCATACACACGCTCGTGTTTAAAATAAAATCTATCGTAAAAGATAAAAACAAGAGACTGTAACCGAAATATTTTATTATATGCAGTGTCGTGGAACAAATACTAGACTCTCTTCTTACTCTCTCCTATAATGCACTGAATATTTATTTTCATACATTCATTCATATGTACATAGGCTCAAGCAAATACGTATTAAATATATATATATATATATATATATATATGTATATGTAATTCTCTACTGTGAACTTAACTAGTGACCTACATATAGATGAATTGAAACTAACATCAACATCAACATCAATATCAACACCAACACCAACACTAACGAACCAGCACCGTAAGCGGTGATAATATAACAAGAAAGCTTGACTACTACTACTGCTTATAAGCGAATCTGGTTTATTTTACTGGGTTCTGTTTTCATTTCGATTGTGTGCATATGGTGCGCGCGCGTATGTGTGGTAGCGTGAAAAAAAAAGAAAAAACCAGGTGAATTCTTTTCACTCTCATTTGTCAATGCCATACAAAATCGAGAATTGGATGTTCAAGTTGAAATACAAAACAAATGGATTTTTTTTTTTTTTTTTTTTTTTTTTTTTACCTTCCTTTTGCGCGTGAGTGTATGTTTGGGTTATTGTTGTATTTCCTTTTCGCTTTAAATATTGAAATTTGAATGAGTTGGATAATGTTGCTGTTTTTTTTTTTTTTTTTTTTTTTTTTACGAATCCCTCTTTTACATTTTATACTCATTATTAATGTGATAAAACAAAACAACAAAAAAAAAAAAAAAAAAAACAAACAAACATTGTATTTGAGAAAAAAGTAAAAATGTGTGTGGGAAAAAGTTTCAAGTGTACTTAAGCAGCATATCGAATCAAATGAGTTCAGTTTTTATAACTGGGAGAAAAAAAATGACAAACAAAATCGATTTTCAACTTTGATCGAATCGTTAAGAAAATTGCAATATTTAATTGTAGGGAGGGACTGGGGGAAGGCATTGTAAATTTTTTCGTTTATATTATTTACTTAATCCGGTCACTGCCAACTACGAAATATTTCGTAGTTTATCCTAGAAGTTTACATTGCTAAATAAAATCTTGGCATCCAGTTTGGCAAGATGTGATTTAAATTTTGTCTGGCGGTGAATGGGTTAAAAGATTCCTTAATTAAATGATCCGGAAATTTTTCATATCAAATTTTGAGTCAAACTTTAATATAGAATGCTAGAAAGCTCTTGAGCTGTATTATAAGCTCAGCTATAGAATTATAAAATTTTTGGACGATTTCTTTATTGTCTTCCGATACATAACGTACGCGTCTACTTTTTCACAGAAAACAGAGATGGAAAATTGTCCAGATCTAGTAGGGAGCCTTTAAGGTAAGGGAATAGGTACAAATTTCTGAAAATGGAAAGCTAGTCGTATGGACCCTGCATTGAGGACTTTTGATACAAAGTAGTTGAAACAGCAGTATTTCAAAATTTTGGAGACATTTTTTGTTGAAGAGGGCCGATAAAGCAGCTTTTACCAATTTTCCAAATTTACATTTCACTTTTTTTTCAGTGTTTCCAGCATTTCAGCGAAATATGGTGAGGTTTTCTCGATAAGTTCATTAAAAGATTACTTATTAGTAAGAGAATGCTTCGTTTTCGATCGAAAATTGAGTACAGTTGAACTTTGACCCCGCAAATCATACAACAATCAATACATTCAAAATCTCCCATCCCTGAAGAATGGAACGGACATACTCAAAAGGAAGATTCAGAGATCCTATTAGGTAGATATATTTTTTTGATGAACGTGAAATTCTGAATCGATTAAGCCATGTCTGTCCCTCTGTCCGTGGTGTTTATTTTATTGTTGGTCCAAATTTGCTCGAAACATTGCACACATTAGTATTGAAAAGGCCC